GAATGAAAGGCCAAAGTGCCTGTGACTTTGAAAATAATTTTAGTAACTGAGAGCTCAAAGTGAGTGTAATTCTGAAATTACTTCATTTTGCTTCAGACAATCCAAGGGTGTGGAAAACTATCAGCATTAAAAATGGAAAAACCCTAACATAATTATCAGATTTTACAGAAAAATAAAACCTTAGAGAATGTCTGATTCTTTTACAGCTGATAAAATGGAAATTTGGAGAAATTAAGTTACTAGCTGAGATTACCCAACTGCTTATGGGCAAATGCAATTCTAGAAGCAGTGTCCTGGAGCATATTGAGTCGCTCGAGGAGATAGTATTAATACTCTAAATACCATGTCAGTACTGTATCCATGTGTGTTCTCAAAAAATTGTACCAGGGTGCTTTCAAGTCTTCATTGGATAAAATGAGATTATAACTGTTACATTACTGTTTTCTGGGTGAATCCAGGCACTTTGGATCTACATACCTTCTTTCGTAAACTCTATTCCTTACAAACTGGGCATTGCTTGTGGGAATAGGTGCAGCATCATTTGGACAAAATCAAAAAGGTGCAATGATGATTCTTTGTACAGATATAAACATCACTTTCTGTATTCTTTTTTCTATTATTTGGAGTCTATAACCAAAGAAATTATCCCACTATTATAAACACTGTGACTTTAGCCAAAATAATTGATTGCTGTGTGCTTCTTTTTTTCCCATTAAAGAAAAAAATTGCAAAGTCTGTTGCTAAGAGAAAGATGGTCAAAACACCTGTTTAGTGTGACTCTGTTGGGAGTTTGCCAAACAGAATCACCCATAGGTTAGCTTTTTGGAACAAAGAGCAAACATATCCATAAGGTTTATTACTTCTTGTGCTGAATTAGGAAGGACAATATCAGGAAAGACTAGTAGTTGAGACCTCCAGAAGGTCCCCAAGGAGCCTTTATTCTTATTATTTTTTTTAATATTACAGACTGCCTCACTTCCCCTGGGTCTAGTCTGAGAGGGATGCCATCTTAATAGCACTACAAAAGCAACAAGACATTCTGGAAGACCTAGTGCCCAAAAGGGGAAGTTTGGGAGCCATTCATCATGTTGCTAAAAGAAAATTATTGTATACCAAAAACTTTAGGAGTTTAATTTTTTTGTTGTTGTTGTTGCAGATTTCAAGTATGAGTAATCAGTGTGATTATATATTAGGCAAAGTAGAGGATTAGATAAGGTAAGATCAACATCTTCAATACAGAATTTGAAAGGTGGTTTAGTGATATTTAAAAAATCTCTACCCCTTAACTGTCTTACTGAGAGGGGAGTGGTAAAATTGGAATGTGCAAGGTAAATAATGTGGCAACACATTTTTTTCTTTTGCAAAGTAATACATATATCATAGTCACCAAGATACTTTTTTGTGTCTCACTTATTCTACTTTATATTTGAATTACTTATGTATGTATCTATATCTCTACTAGCTGGTGAGTTCTTAGAGGGCAGTGATTTGTGTATTGTTTACCTTGGTATCTCCCAAAGCACAATACTTTGCACATATTGAACAATTGAAATCAAGGACTGATTTTTATTCTAGAACACTCCTGCCACCACCATAGTAGAAGAGTCTCAATTTCACATAACTGTAAGAAAAAGTTTTTTGTAAATGCTCAAGATGGCAAGATCAATTACTTTTGATCTACAAGGTAGGACCAATGCAAATAAAAACTCTTACAGCCAGTGAACCACTAAGAAAGACAGATTCGTTTCAGGTTTGCAAATTCTAAAATAATTCCAAACAATGATGTCTCTTCTTATCCCATGGAGTAATCAGCAGATATTTTAGCATAGTTTCTTGTTAGATTCTTAGAGAATCATCTTATCATAATAAATGATGCAGTGTTTGGGATTGATTTCTGGGACAGCACAGCATTAACTACCAGTACCACCAAGCTTGAACAGTTCAGTAAGACCTAGATTGCCTGAAGCTGTTTAGATAAGTTACAAGAATATTTCCCCCTGGACAATATGTATGTCCATTTTTATTTGTAGAGCTATACCCCAGTCTTTCAATTTCACCAACTTTTTAAGACTATTTATTGTATGCATCAAACATGTGAACCATTTTCTAAGTGCAAAAAGGCACCATGCTAGGTCCTAGGAATGTTGAAATGACTAATATCAGGACTACTGTAGCAAATTAGATGGAAAGGACTTCTGTATGAAGACAGCATCCTACATATGCTAAGTCTTTAGTGAGTACCAATGCATTGTAGATCCTGCCATCAAAAGATTATTATACTATATATTATTGTACCATATATTATTATTACTAGGTAATGTACAGTACAATATAGTGATAATCATATATAGTATGATATAGAATATAATTATCTAGTAATTATTTATCATTGTATTCAAGTTAGTCATTGGAAAAAATGCAAATTGAGCACTCTAAATGTACCTTAAAAAGTGAATGTATAAAAGTTCCTAACAGACTTGGTGCTCAAGGATCTTTTGTTCAGCTGAAGAGACAGTGTTTAGTGTGGTTAAATATATAACCAATGTGTAGTGTGATTAAAATGTTACATAATACAAGAGACGATGCATGATTGTGTATAGTTGCCATGGAATTTAAACAGACCTTAAGCACAATATGCACATTCATAGGAGAAAGAGAACAATTGCTAAAGGTCATTGGGTCCTTCATTCACTGACACATACTTTAATTCAAACAGAGGAAAATACAAAAATTGCTCATCTCTCTTGAAAACTTGCTATTTTTCAGGCTGTCTGCTAGTAAGTTGTTTTTATAGCTGATCTAATTTATTTTGCGCAGCTGTATGACTTCAGTGCTATTATATCATTTTAGAGATGAGGAAATGGAAACAAGCTTTGTTCACTTACCTACAGAGAGATGACTCTCAGTAAGTGGTGGGAGTGGACTCAAATGTGTGTCTGTCTGTCTCAAAATTCTACTTTCTTGTCACATCATACTCCCACCTGAAAATTTTTGATAAGCCATTAAAAATGGGATGAAGCATGCCCTTTGGAGAACAGTCAATGGGTTAGCCGATCAGACATGAACATAAACATTACCTGATCGGCATCAATTGAAATGTTCTTCTAAGAAAATAGTACATTTTATTTCCTTTTTCATAGGTCCTGTAGGACTTTGATTCCATTTCTAAATGTATGGCATTTGAAAACAATAACAGAATCAGTTATCTGTACTCAAAGATGTGCCCATTTGCAGACTATGTAGCTGGCTCCCTGTATACAATCGAAACCTATCTGTTTTTATTGAACTCAGACAAGTGGCTAAAAAAATGGGTATTTCCATTTGTTTGGATTCATCCTTTCTTTGCAAAGAAAGATATGTTTTCTTAGGGTATATTGTAACATGTTTTGTATTCAGTGGATGCTCAGGAAATATTTGATGTTGGCTGACTAGGTGATGGTGATACTACCCTGAGTTTCTTTCTTTCAAGTAAAGATCGTCAGGTTTTTTCTTTGACAAACAGATGCAAATAGTTGACCTGTCAAAAGTAGCAAAAACCCTGTGGCCATCAAGAAGCCACTTATTTTGAAATACCAAACATTTTCTTTACAGCACCTTAGTTTCTGTTTAGGATGCCTTGCCCACAAGAATTTAATGGTTCAACCCCTTTCTGTCATGTCATATTGTCCAATACTTTAGTGTCAAGGTGATGAATCTGAGAATGGGACAAGAGTTTGCAAATCAGCCCATAGGCAGGTTGCATTTCATCTTTCCAGGCTGCATGAAGTGATAGGAATCTCTTAGGATAATTAGCTCGAAACCTGGGTAAACTTTGGCATGAAAAGGGAAATATGAGATAGAGCAATTGTTCTCACCCCATTCATGCAGTTCATGTTTGAGCAGACAAGAAGAAATCCTCAGCACTAAGACTGTTGATGGACAACCTCTCCTGTGGCTCCACATGCAGTATTCACATATCTGGGATTATGGATATGGTCTAGGATGCACCCAAGAATGAGCTGGTGTGTGCTCATTGACAGCATGCAGGACTTGACCTGGAAATAATTAAACTCTGCATGGCCTCTGAGCAGCTAGAAGTGGCCCAGCTGTCTCCTGAGGAAGAAGAGATTTCAAGGGTAAAGCAGTTAAACAAAATTCTGAAAGATATGGTGGAGAAAGAACACCAAGCTCTGCAGCTTTCTGAAGAAGCAGTTTCCTAGGACAAGTGTCTTGTCTAGATCCATTGAAAGAAGAAAGGAGCTTCAGTCCTCTTCAAGAAAGAGCAAGGCACAGTAAGGCAAATAAATCCTTCCTATTATTTCTGAGAGCAAGTAATAAAGTTGTTTATTGCTTCCTCCCAAAGAAAAAAGAATTATAAGGTCAAAAAAGACATAAAGGAAGCTATAATGTGAGATTTATGGTCATTTGGGCAGAATTGCAAGTGTATAATTGGTGTATCATGTCAAAAAGGATGGTTGCCTGTTTCTGTTTTTTTTTTTTTAAAGCTTGGGTTTTGCTTGACAGTTTTAACAATTAATGTCTTATCTTTGAGTCCTGATTTACCTTGCTGAAAGAGACTATTATTCTAATTTTTTTCTATTCTATTGCTATTATTTCTTAAGTAGCTATTAATATCATTTTCATATAAATGGATATAATTAACTCATAGCCTGGTAGCTTTCTTTGAAATTTTCTCTTTTTTCTCCTTCCTGAGCTTATTCTAATATCTGACTGTAACTTGTAAATATCTGTCTAGAATGGAGAAAACGACCCCAGTTGGGTCCCAATTAGCTCAGCAAAAGAGGCTGTCATGCTTAAGAATTGAGTATCATTGATACAGGCTAAAAATGAACAAATGAAAGAAGGAGTTGTATTTCAGCTCTTCGGAAACTTAAAAAAAAGGAAATAGTTGTAGAGGGAAACGCTCCCAGGAAAATACCCTAAAGATTTCCTTTACACAAAGCAGGGACTTTAGGAGAAGAATCTTAAAGGAAAATAATTAGCAGATTAATATCTTATACATGTATTTAAAACACTAGATGTACAGAAGGTAGGGGGTTTTCTTAGAGGATTAATTTGAAAAATAATGTGACAAAGGCACACCTTAAGTCTTCTCAAATGTGCCTGCACCCTCTCTGCTTCTATAAAAGGGTAGAATTTGACCCAGCATATTACCTCACCCTTTGTACCTCTTTGCAGCAGTTCTTTCATCCAGAGATTTCAAAGTGTTTTTATAAATGTAAATTAACAAGCCTCATCACCTATCTCCATAGAGATGGTTCAATTAAGTAACTCAGAAACGTACCTAAATGGCTTATTCAAGGTCACCTGAGAAGTCCTCTGTGAAATCAGGAAATGGATATTCAAAGTGTAAAAATTCCTTGCAGTCTCACTGCACATCCAGGCTTATTGCAACCCTTGGCAAGGGACACTGGAGGGACAATTATTTTTCTTCTTTAATCTTTATAGTGAGGCTTTCACTTGGCCTTCTCCCAACCTCATCAAATACCCACGCCCATATACCTGCAGACCCAGGCTTCCGTCCTTTCCTCTTTTTTTCTGTCCCAAAAGCTCAATGAGGACAGACTATGACTTTTTTTTTTTTTAAAGAATCACTTTGATTAAATAGGTACTTTACATACTTATATTCTCTGTTCTATTTATCAATTTCATAAATATTTATTGAATACTTCCATTTATCAATAGAAAACTCTTCTATTTATCAATTTCATAAATATTTATTGAATATTTCTTTTGTGGCTACTCACTGTGCTAGACACAGGGAATGCTACAATCATGTTCCTCCCTTTCTGAGAAAGAAAAGACAATAAAAAGAAATACATACCTAGTGGTCAATGCTATGAAGATGACAAATGTGGTAGGTTGGATGAGGTAGGTAAGAATTAATGAATCAGGGAAGGCCTCTCTAAGCAGGGAACATATAAACCAAGACCTGTAACCTGAAAATACATCAGACTTTTAAAGTACTAGAAACAGAATGGTTCCAGGCAGAAGGAACAGCAAAAGTAAAGACAGGAGCTCGGCTGGGAAAGAACTTGGCCAAAGCCTCATGCACTGGGGCAAGAATCGCAGGAGATGAGGCTGCAGAGGAAGGACAGAACCTTGTGGGCCATGGGACAAGGTGTATAATTCATTCATAAAACAGTAATCAGCCTGGGAAAGGTTTCAAGCAAGGAAATAACATGACCTGATTTATGTTTTAAAAACTAGCAAATTGTGAAGAATATTCTTGCTCTGCAAACATTTTTATCTTTTTCTTTTATTTATGTTTTATTTATTTATTTATTTTTATTGTACTTTAGCTTCTGGGGTACATGTGCAGATCATGCAGGGTTGTTGCATAGGTACATACATGGCAAGATGGTTTGCTGCCTCCATTCCCTCATCACCTATACCTGACATTTCTCCCGATGTTATCCCTCCTCACTCTCCCCCAACCCCTGTCCCTCCCTTCGCCCTCCACCAACAGACCCCAGGTGTGTGATGCTCCCCTCCCTGTGTCCATGTGTTCTCATTGTTCAACATCTGCCTGTGAGTGAGAACATGCAGTGTTTGATTTTCTGTTCTTGTGTTAGTTTGCTGAGAATGATGGTTTCCAGATTCATCCATGTCCCTACAAAGGACACAAACTCATCTTTTTTTATGGTTGCATACTATTCCATGGTGTATATGTGCCACATTTTCTTTATCCAGTCTATCACTGATGTGCATTTGGGTTGTTCCAAGTCTTTGCTATTGTAAACAGTGCCATGATAAACCTAAGTATGCATGCGTCTTTATAATAGAATGATTTGTAATTCTTTGGGTATGTACCCAATAGTGGGATTGCTGGGTCAAATGGTATTTCCATTTATAGATCCTTGAGGAATCGCCACGCTGTCTTCCACAATGGTTGAACTAATTTACACTGCCAAGAGTGTAAAAGTGTTCCTATTTCTTCACATCCTCTCCAGCATCTGTTGTCTCCAGATTTTTTAATGATCGCCATTCTAACTGGCATGAGATGGTATCTCAATGTGGTTTTGATTTGCATTTCTCTAATAACCAGTGATGATGAACTTTTTTTCATATGTTTGTTGGCCTCAGATATGTCTTCTTTTGAAAAGTATCTATTCATATCCCTTGCCCACTTTTGGATGGGTTTTGTTTTTTTTTTCTTGTAGATCTGTTTTAGTTCTTTGTAGGTTCTGGATATTAGCCCTTTGTCAGATGGGTAGATGGTTTGCTCTAATGATTGTTTCTTTTGCTGTACAGAAGCTCTGAAATTTAATGAGATCCCATTTGCCTATTTTGGCTTTTGTTGCCATTGCTTTTGGTGTTTTAGTCATGAAATCTTTGCCTATGCCTATGTCCTGAATGCTTTTCAACACCCCTGTATGCTAAAAACTCTCAATAAACTAGGCATCGATGGAACTTATCACAAAATAATAAAAGGTATTTATGACAAACCCACAGCCAATATCATACTGAATGGGCAAAAACTGGAAGCATTCCCTTTGAAATCTGGCACTAGACGAGGATGCCCTCTTTCACCACTCCTATTCAATATAGTATTGGAAGTTCTAGCCAGAGCAATCCATCAAGAAAAAGAAATAAAGGGTATTCAATTAGGAAAGGAGGGAGTCAAATTGTCTCTATTTGCAGACGACATGATTGTAGATTTAGAAGACCCCATCATCTCAGCCCAAAATCTCCTTAAGTTGATAAGCAACTTCAGCAAAGTCTCAGGATACAAAATCAATATGCAGAAATCACAAGCATTACTATAAACCAATAACAGACAAACAGAGAGCCAAATCAAGTGGCAACTCCCATTCACAATTGCTACAAAGAGAATAAAATACCTAGGAATACAGCTAACATTTTTATCTTTTTCTGATATCAAATATTTATCAGGTTGGACAGGTTTTCCTATATCTTATAACCACTTGAAGAAATATGAGTAGGAAAACCATGTGCTCTTCTCATCTTAATCCTTACCATACCCATACTTTGAACTCATGAACACAAAGTAAAACATTATTTTAAAAGAGAAAGACCTTCCTGCTTCTTTGGAGCTGATTTATTAGTTTTTACATCACTGATCAGCTAATATTCATGCCCTACTTATTCAGAAATCTTCAGTTTATTTGATTCATCTGTACTTCTCTGTGATCCCAGTAGCATATTGCACAGACATCTGTGTGACTCTTACCACTTTGTTTTGTCATTAAGTGGTTCCCCTTGCCCTGCCTATGTGTTCATGAGCTCTCTGAGGGCTGGGAAGTATCTTATTCACCTTTGTATTTCCAGACATTATTCAGAGACTGGTCAGAGTCAGTGCTGATGGAAACCTTCTAACTGATGGACAGATGAATGTTGACCTGCTGACTGTATAATAGATTTTCCCAAGTCAGGACACATTTGAATATGAAAATAGGTGCTATTAATGATTATGCTAGGACAATGCGTATAAAGTTGGGCTGGTTCTGGTGTATGACTGGGATATATGGTCACCTTAGTAATCATTATAATGAATTATCAGAAGAGTTGTAAACTTTTGAATTCTGGAGGGCTTTTAGAAGACAGTATTATTCCATTTGTTCAAACTGGTTTAGAGCAATAGTTCCCACAGCATGGGAGACATAACGGTACAGGAGATGTTTGTTGCTGGCAGGGGCATCAAGATTAAATAATAGATTTGTATTTTCATAAGCAATTCTCCATTTGAGTCTTCTTTATTCTAATTATTATAAAGAGAACGTCTCAGTGTGGTGCTAGATTACCTTTAGCTCCTCAGACCTCTGCTAATCTTCCTTTTTTATGAACAAATGTTAGAATCAGAGCCTTTAAATAGAAAATGATATCTGGTTAGAACTTAATATTATTAGGTTAATTATAATTATTTTTATTCTCTCCTTCTCTTCATGGCTAATTATAGTGATTTTCCAGGTAGAATAGGGTTATAAAGTTCAATATTTAGTGAATCTTTAAAAATAAGAATTAGAAGATTAAAAAATATGATAAATGTTGTATACAGATTTTGGCAAAACACATGAAGTTCATGTACAAGTGACTGCAGTTTGGATGAGTAGTTCAGACCAATTATTTCCATCTGTTTTAGTCAGCTCATGCTGTTTTAACAGAACACCATAGATTGGGTGGCTTAAACAGCAGACATTTATTTCTCACAGTTCTGGAACCTGGGAAATCCAAGATCAGGGTGCCAGCATGACTGGGTTCTTGATGAAGGCTCTCATCGTTTATTGCAGGCAGCTACCTTCTCACCATATCCTCAAATGATGAAGAAGAGAGAAAGCTCTGGTGCCTTTTCCTGTTCATATAAGGGTACTAATTTCATCATGGGTCCCACCCTCATAAACCTTGTCTAAACCTAGTTACCTCCTCCCAAGAGCTTCGCCTCCTAATACCATCACATTGAGGTGTAAAGCTTTAGCATGTGAATTTTGAAGGGTCAAAAACATTTAGACTATAACACCAGCCTTATTTCTGAGTTTTAGCTTTGGGGTCGTCATTTTTTAAAACATCTTCATATGTAATTAAATTAAATTAAAATAATGTATATACTTCTATTCACTTTTATAATCTTTCTCAGTATAAAGATTATGCGTGCTTACTGTAGGAATATGATCCTGGAAAATACATAACAGAATAAACATGAGAATTTAAATCACACAATATTATAATTCAGGGACAAACACATTTGATATCTGAGTTTATCTTTTTTTCATTTTGTACTTTTAGAAATGTAAAGATCTTGGATCTCCAAATGTTAATACATATGTAAATTTGGATTTACATAAAATAAATAAAAGAGGTGTGTGTGTGCGTGTGTGTTTGTGTGTGTGTGTGTGTTCTAATTAGAAACAACTAACAGGTCAGGAGTGGTGATGGGCCTGGAGTGGTGACTATAATCCCAACACTTTGGAGGGCTAAGGTTAGGAGGATCACTTGAGCCCAGGAGTTTGAGACCAGCCTGAGTAACATAGGGAGACCCCATCTCTAAAAGAACATAACAAATTTTAAAAGTTAGCTGGGCATGGTAGTGCCCGTCTGTGATGCCAGCCATTCAGAATGCTGAGATGGGAGGATCGCTTGAGCCTAGGAGGTTGAGAGGTAGTGAGCAGTGATGGTGCCACTGCACTACAGCCTAGGAGGTAAGAGTGAGACCCTGTCTTAAACAAACAAAAATGATTAACAATTGGATGGCTTTAAGTCTCAAACCTTCCCTTATGTACTTAAAGGTTTAATTTACTCAAAAATTTTATACATGTAATATTTAGCACTAATCACATAATTTAAGGCACATCTTTACTAACTAAAACTCCATACAATTTCAATCAGTTATAATGAGATAAATGCGACAGAAATGAGTAAAGCTTCCTTGGGAAGCTTTGCATTTAAAATCTTGGATTTCTACCTTGCCAGAGACATGTACTTCCTAGCTGTTAGCAATCTTAACTCTCTACTATAGAAGAATAAAACCATAACAGATTGAGTTGTGTTCTAATTTTCAATAAAAGGAAGTGGTTGTATTACCATATCAATCCAACAGTTGTAAGGAGAAAATTGTCTGCTTATGAGAACTTTACAGGTGTCAGAAATGTGTATTTATATATATTTTCCAAAACAGAAGGATATCAGCATGGCTTAGTTTTATTACCTTAATCACAAGCAGGTAAGATATTTAAAAACAATGAAAACAAACAGCAAAAATAACAACCACTATATGCCAGTATAATAACCTGCTTTTCCACTGACAGTTTTATTTTCATCTCCCTCTGTATGGATTTCTTTATTCATAGGGAGAATGGCTATACTGTCACTTGATTTTATATTGTAAGATGAGAGTTGTTGGAATAATATGATCTCCTTGTAATACTTTGTCAGAAGACACACTGAAGTTAAGGAAACAACCCAGGATCTTGTAACAAACTCCTGCCCATGCCTCTAGCTTTATCCAAGCTAAATACTTATAATTTTGAAGACTGTAATCTCCAGGAAGACTAGGGATTTACGAAGTCGACTGTATCTTCTGTGCCCTAAATTGTGCTTGGTCCTTAAAAGACTCTTAAATATTGTTGAATGAATGAACCATCATCATAAAAGCTACTATTTAGGAAAATAAATATATGTCATGTGTGATAATCAAGATGATTTGAAACTGTCATTTGATATGCCAATTCTAGTTCTCACAGCAACTCTAATCTATGGTTATTATTATTTGTATTGTCTTATTGAGAAAGCAGACTCAGGAATATTAAGTAATCTACCAAGTTCATACTGGGATAGTATTAGGAATTCAAAGCTAGATATGTCTAATATCAATGCTTCAGTTTTTTTCTCCTATAGAAAAGGGTTATATGGCCCCCAAAAGAGCATTATATATGAAAATGGAAATCTCCAATAGTTTACATTCGGAACCAGGTTCTTTCATGGGGTCAGAGGATATCAACATTACTTTTAAAAACATTGAATCCAGGTGTGTTTCTGGAATTGTGAAACAGATTTTCCCGGTGTTTTGCCCCTAAGAGGTTGGGGACAGCCTTTGATGAATGACAACATTATTAATACTTTTGGTCTATGGTTAAAAAACAACAAATATATGTATGTATATGTACATGCACGCATGTATGTATGTGGGTACATTGTTTTCAATTTTCTTTTGTCACTGCCTAACTTTTATCACCAATCTGACACCTAGAGGAAATAAAGAACTGAGAGAGACACCTTGACTGGATAGCTCCTTTCCAACTGCTGCCTCTCTTTGGCAGCTGGGCTGCTTTTTGAGGTGAATGGGCAGCTGTAGCCAAAGAGAGCCCAGAATATCTGCAGAAGGCAGTAGAGGGTAGCACCAAAACAATGCTCCAGGAGATGAGAGCATCAAAAAGATTTGTTCACCAGATTTTACAGTTTCCTGCAACTTTATAAATAATTTACTTGGGTAATGTTTCATCAAGAACTGCACAATTGCCTTGAAAGCCTGAGAATCTAATGGGCTTATTTAAAAAATTTCTAAATAGAAGCACATCGAGGCTTTGACCAAACACCCTTTCCCAACCTTCTTATGTTTTTTTCTTCTTTCTTGGAGATAAATCTGTAAAACACAAATGAGTTTGTTGTAATTGCCCACCCAGTGTGTAAAATTACAGCTTCAGTGTCATGCTTAATAGGCAATGTGCACAAAGTATATGAACCCAGCTAAGCATACAAGATTTCTATTTTTTTAATATATAGCCAGCAGTTGGACACTGCTCATCCCGGGGAAAAAAAATTCATTGAAGCAGACCGATATTTTACCTCTTTACTGACTTTTTTTTTCTGTACTATGATACAGATAAATTTCAGTTTGTCTGGTCATGAAGTATGAATTTTGGCCAAAGACTTTTATTAGGTCAGTGCACCAGTAATTGCTGTTTTTACCAATTATTTCTCTGATTTCTTTTCTTTTTTGATACACATACCTTGCATGCAGTAATTATAAAATCAAACCTTCTGATCACAAGATGAAATGAGCAGAAAAATGTGGATGATTTATAAAACTCTATTACCATTCTCAAGGATGGATCCTAAGTAGTTGCCAAAGACGGTGGTTCCTCACAAAGGACAAGTAAGATTGGCTAAGTGGTAAAAGTGTGAGATCTGTGTTAGATGGCCTGGTTTGAACCTAAGCCCCACCGCATATGAATTGGGTGACATTGAGTACCTTCTGTAACTTTCTGTACCTCAGTTTCCTAGCTTGTGAACTGTGAATAATGACTGTTCTAACCTACGAAAGTTACTGTGAGGATTAAGTCAGTCAAAAAATGGAAGACACATAGGGAAAGACTGGGACCTTAGAAGCACTTTAAAATGCTGATTGCTCTTAATTATCCTAAGCATTATGTGAGACAAGTCTCACTTGCTATGTGAGGCTCTTCTTAGTATGCAGAAGGCAAGCAGCAAATATTAATTTAATAAATGAATAGGTGCTTCTTGGAGTTTACACTCCCAAACTGTGGCTATATCTGTTTTTCTGATTTTCATTCTGCTTTCCATCTCTGTAGGTTGTATTTAGTGGGTCAGCATTTTCTTTCCCATTCTTCACACAAAGTTTCCACAGAGGATCTGCATGATCAGTGGAGGAGGCAAAACAAAGAGGCAATTTGTCAAATTAGGTACCATTCTTTCCCTCAGTGACAAATCTATAGTGATATGCTTGAGCTGACAAGACTTTGAATTTTCACTTTTCTACCTGTTTACAGATATCTCTTTATACAAAAGCACCATTTGCAAAATAAACTCATCTGAAGGCTTCTACAGGGAATTTCCCTCAATAAAAGGAGATATTAGTTATTTAAAACTACATGAGTGGAGAGGATTCTGGGAATTCAATGGAGTAGTAAGTGCCAGGACTCCATCACCCCACCTAAACAATAATTGTACTGGCAGAATCTGTTTGATGTAATAATTTCAAAACTCTGGAGTCTATTGAATGTTTCAAACTTCTAAAGGAAGGCTTGGATAGTAAATTCTGGTTAATTTTAGTTAATTTCAGCTCTTAGCACAGTAGTAGCTATTCATCTCCCACTCCCAGCTCTGTGGCAGGCAGCTGTGCAGGTGTTACTGGAGCAGCTTGCACACAGCCTGAAGGAGCCAAAGCAGGAAAAAAAATACTCTGTCCTCCAAATGTAGATCAGTGCTATGATTGCTGATTCCTGCTTTTGATCACAGGAATATAAACAGCAAATTTTGCTACACATCCCGCTATTGTTGACAGCCCTTCCCTCTCCATCTGAGGTGACCGTTAGGGGATTTAAAGGGCTGGAGCATCCCTTTTTTCCTCCCCCTTTTTTTTCTCTTCCATCTTGGGAGGCAGATATTAAACACTAAGACCATCACAAACAACTTTATTTATAGGGAAAGTTAGAGAGTAACTGCACATGCACGGAGAGAGGCACAACTCAGAAAAGATTTAAGGCCTTAGATTTCCGTTTTTTGATCCAGAGACAGTCTACAGTATTAAAAATAAAACCCCCAAACAATAATTTAAAAGTGTAGACCCTGGTTTATAGATTTAGAGTTATCTGTTTATTAAATTCAAATGTCCACTTTTCAAAAAAATAACGACAAGACATCCAAAGGAACAGAAAAGCAAGAAACTTTCAAAGCAAAAAATTAAACAACAGAAACTGCTCCTGCCAAAGACCTCTGGCTTCTACTAGTAAAAGACATTAAAACTACTTTCTTAAAGATGTACATAGAACTAAAGAAAGATGTTGGGAAAGTCAAGAAAACAATGTATGCACAAAATGAAAATATCAATAAAGAAAAGACCTAAAAGGAAACCTGAAAGAAATTCTGGAGCTAAAAATTACAATAACTGAAATTAAAAATCCACTGGAGAGTTTCAAAGGGAGATTTGAGCAGGGAGAAGAAACAATCTGCAGCCTTGAAGACAGAACAATGGAAATTATCGTCTTAGGAACAGGGTAAGAAAAGATTATAGAAAAGGGAGCAGACAATAAGGGACATGAGAAATACCATGAAGCTGACTGATTTGCACATTATGGGGCCCATAGAAGGAGAAGAGATGGACAAACAGGCAGAGAGAATATTTGAAGAAATAGTGTTTTAAAACTTCCCAAATTTGATAAAAGACATGAGTGTAAACATCCAAGGAGTTTAAGAAACTTTAAGTAAGTTGAACTCAAAGAAACTCACACTGAGACACATTATAGTCAGACTTTCAAGCTGAAGACAAAGAATTTTGAAAGCAGCAAGAAAGATGCAACTCATTGCATACAAGGGATGCTTCATATGATTATCAGCAGATTTTTAAAATCAGAAACTATGGAGGCTAGAAAACAATGAGGTGATATATTCAAAGCACTAAAAGAAAAAAATCAACAAATAATCATATATCTGGCAAAACTGTACTTCAAAAGTGAGGGAAAAACTATGAATAATAAATTTCCAGTTAAACAAAAGATGAGGAATTTTTTTACTACTAGACATGCCCTGCAAGAAATGTTTAAGGGAGGCCCTGCAAAATGAAATTAAAGGACAGTAGACAGCAACTCAAAGCTGCTTGAAGAAACAAATACCTCAATAAAGGTAAATACATGGACAATTATGAAAGCAAGTATTATTGTAGCAATGGATTGTAATTCTAGTTTTTGTTTTCCATATAATTTAAGAGTTTATTGCATTTAAAATAATTATTAGTTTACGTTTTTGGGCAGAGAATGTATAAGGATGAAATTTTTTGATCTCAACAATGCAAAGAGATGGGAACAGAGCTGTAAAAGAGTATAATTTGTGTATGATATTGTATTAAACTGGGGTAATTCAACATAAAGTGTTATAACTTTAGGATGTAATTCCTATGGTAGCAACAAAGAAAACAGGTATAGAATATTCACAAATAGAAATGAGAAGGACATTCAAACATTTCAGTATTAAAAATCAACTAATTATAAAAGAAAACAGTGATGCAAAAAATCAGGGTGAAAAAAGCCATAAAGCATATAGAAAATAATAGCAAAATGACAGAAGGAAATATTTCCTTATCAATAATACTTTAAATGTAAGTGAATTCAACTTTATATTCAAAAGACAGGTTTGCAGAATGAATAAAGACACATGATCCAAGTACAACAGGATATGAATTCTTCTCAAGAATGGGACTTGGGACATTTTCCCAGGATTTATCATATGTTAGGACACAGATTCAGTTTCAATAGATATTAAAAATAGACATTATACAAAATATCTTCTCTGACAACAATGGGATTAAATTAAAAATCAGTAACAGAAGTAAAACTGGAAAACTAAAAAATTTGTGGAAACTAAACAATATACTTTTAAACAAGCAATGGATCAAAGAGGAAATTACAAAGAATATTAGAAAATACTTAGAGACAAATGAGAACAAAACCACAACATGTGAAAACTTATGAGATACAGTGAAAGCAGTATAAGAATAAATTTTACAGCTATAAACACTTACAGTAAAAAATAAGAAATATCTCAAATCAACAACCTAACTGTTCAAGTAAAAGAACTAGAAAAAAATGGCAAGCTAAACTCAAAGCTAGGGGATAAAGGAGATAACAAAGATTAGAGCAGAGATAAACAAAAGAGAAAATAGAAAAAAATCAATGAAATCAAAAGTTGGTTATTTCAAAGGATCACTAAAATGGACAAACCTTTAAATGTATTAAGAAAAAAAGAATACTCAAATTACTAAAATCAGAAATGAAAGTGATAACATTGCTACTGCTACTACAGAAAGAAAAAAGATTACAAGAGAGTACTCTAATTTTACACCAACCAAATGGATAAGCTAAAAAAAATGAATAAATTTGTAGTAACACTAAACTTACCATGACAAAATCATGAAGAAATAGAAAATTTGAAAATACATGTAACTAGTAAAGAGGCTAAATGGTAATCAAAACTCTTCCAACAAAGAAAAGCCCTGGACTTGATGGATTTGCTGATGCATTCTACCAGATATTTAAAGAAGAACAAACGCCAATTCTTCTCAAACTTTTCCAATAAAACTGAAGAGGAGGGAAAAGATCCTAATTCTGTGAGGCCAGTATTACCTTCAAACCAAAGTTGGACAAAAATATTGCAAGGAAGTATAGACCAATATCCCTAATGGAAATTGATGCAAAAATCCTCAACAAAATACTAGCAGCAAACAAAATTTAGGATCATTTTAAAAGACTTTGACCAAGTAGGATGTATTTTTGGAATGCAAGGATGATTCGACATATGAAATCAATCAATGTCATATAGCACATTAATAGAATGAAGGAAAAAAGCCACATGATCATCTCAATTAATGCAGAAAAATTATTTGATAAAATTTAACACCTTTTGTGATAAAAGCATTTAAAAAACTAAGAATAGAAGGAAATTACCTCAATATAATATAAGCCATATATGAAAAACCCACAGTGAACATTACACTGAATGATGAGAGACTGAAAGCTTTCTCTCTTAAATCAGGAACAAGGCAAGAATGCCTGCTTTCTTCACTTATTTAACATAATACTTGGAAGTTCTGGCCAGAGAAGTTAGGCAAGAAAAAATAAATAAAAAAGTATCTAAATTGGAAAAGGAGAAGTAAAATTATCTGTTCATAGATGATATGATCTGGTAAGTCTAAAACCCTAAAAACTACACACACACACACACACACACACACATGTGCACACACACATACACAAGACACACATACACAGAGTTAGAATTAATAAATGAATTTAGCAAAACAGCAGGATACAAAGTCAACACACAAAAATAAGTTGTACTTCTATATATTAGCAATCAACAGCCTGAAAAGAAATTATAAAAACAATTTCATTTATAATAGCATCAGAAATAATAAAATACATAGGAATCGATGTAACCAGTAAGGTGAAAGATCAGTATAGTGAAAACTACAAAGCCCTGCTGATATAAAGAAGACTAAAATAAATGGAAGCACATTTCATGTTCATCAATTGGAAGACATCACATATTAAGATGTCAATATTACCCAAAGCAATCTATAGATTCAATGCAATGCCTATCAAAATTCTAGTGATGATTTTTATAGACAAAAATTCTTCCTCATGCTTGTAATCCCAGCACTTTGGGAGGCTGAGGCGGGTGGATCACCTGAGGTCAGGAGTTCAAGACCAGCCTGGCCAACATGGTGACACCCCGTCCAACTAAAAAAATACAAAAAATTAGCCAGACGTGGTGACATGTGCTTGTAATTCCAGCTACTTGGGAGGCTGTGGTAGGAGAATTGCTTGAACCTGGGAGGTGGAGATTTTAGGGAGCTGAGATCTATTCACTGAACTGTAGCCTGGGCAACAGGAGTGAAACTCCATATCAAAAAAAAAAAGTCCTTTCTAAAATTCATATGGAATCTTAAGAGACCCCCAAAAGCCAAAGCAACCTAGAAAAAGAATAAAGCTGGAAAACGAATACTTTGTGATTTCAAAATTTACTACAAAGCTACAGTAATCACAACAGTGCGGCACTGGCATAAAGACAAACATATAGACCCATAGAATAGAATGAAGATATCAGAAATAAACCCTTACATATATGGTCAAATGATTTTTAATAAAAATGCCAAGATTATTCAGTGGGGGAAATGATAGTCTTTTCAACAAAAGGTTCTGAGAAAATTGAATATCCACTTGCAAAATCATAATGTCCAACTCTTCCCCAACACCGTGTACAATAATTAACTCAAACTGGAAAAAAGATCTAAATGTAAGACCCAAAAGTATAAAACTATTACAAGAATGCATAGGGCAAAAGTTTTACAACATTGGGTTGAGCAAATATTTTTTGAGCATGACACCAAAGGCATAGGCAAGAAAATATAAAAAAATAGACTTTATGAAAATTAAAAAAATTATGCATAAGAAAACAATATCAGCAAAGTAAAAAGGCAACCCACAGGATAGGAGAAACTATCAATCATGTGTCTGTGTGTGATAAGAGATTAATATTCCAGATATATAGCAAACTCCTAAAACGCAACAACAAAACATCCCAATTTAAAAATGGGTAAAGAACTTGACTAAACAATTCTCCAAAGAGGATATAAAAATAGCTAGTAAACACATAAAAATATGCTCAACATTCCTAATCATTATGGAAATACAAATCAAAACTACAATGTGATACTATGTAATACCCAGTACAATGGCTACTATCAAAACAAAAAAACAACAAAACAAAAAAACTTTGGTGAGGATTTGGAGAAATTAAAACCCTGTACACTGTTTGTAGAAATGCAAAAGAGTACAGCTTCTGTAAAAATCAGTATGACAGTTCATCAAAAACTAAAAATAGAATTGTCATATGGCTCAGCAATCCCACCTTTGGATATTTGTTCCAAATAATTGAAACCAGAGTCGTAAAGAGACATTTGTACAACCATGTTCATAGAAGTTATTCAGAATAGCTAAAATGTGGAAACAACCTAAGTGTCCTTTGACAGATGAATAGATAAGCACGACGTGGCCTATACATACAATGGAATATCATTTAGCCTTTAAAGGAAGGGAAATTCTGACACATGCTACTACATGGATGAAACTTAAGAACATTCTACTAAGTGAAATAAACCAATCACAAAAAGACAAATACTTTATGATTCCACTAGTATGAGGTACTTAGAGTTGTCTTAATTATAGAGACAGAAAATAAAATGTTTGTTGTCACAGGCTGGGGGGAGGGGCAATAGGGAGTTACTTTTTATGTAAATACAATATAGTTTCAATTTTAAAAGATTAAAAGAGTTGTAGAGATGGATGGTGGTGATGGTTGCAGAACATTATGAATGTATTTATTAACA